TTAGCTACAATTGTCGGCTAATCTTGTAGCTAGCGTGTCTATTACAAGTACCATTTCGAGGCTACCCTTGTTGACTATATCGGACGATAAAAAGAAAAAAGTGCAATTGTTTTTCCCCTATCTTATGCGCTGATTAACAGTGTTTGGTCAATTCCGGGGAACGCTGTAGGACCCGCTCATCTTACTTAGGTAATCCTTGCTCACGTTTTTAATTTGCTCTTTTACGGACAACTACCAACTTACTTAAATATTTCTGTCAAGATTGAACTGGAGCATTGCTAGAAGAAACAATCGCAGACATTGAGAGTCATTTAACAGTCTGCAAATTTTTATATAACAACTTCCTTGCAAATATCTTTCAAATAGCGAAAAAAATGTCAAAAATGTCACGGTAAAACGAACCACCCATGAATCATCTGCGAAAGAAGGGGAGGGGGCTCCTTGAGGGGGCTCCTCCCCTAAGTCACCCGCCCTCCTCAGGCCGTCCTCTCTGCTCCGCTCTGATTGGTCGGAGTTTCCGTCTCTGGCCTCGCCTTGTCTGGGGCGCAGCTGTGTGAGACGTGAGCCACTGTCCGGCAGCCGCTCCTTGGGGGACGCCGCCTCAGACGAGATCAATACGAACCGTACCGCCATCTGCGCCCGTCTGACGCACAGACAGCTGTCTTCAGACGCCATGAACGCCGTGATCGAATACTGGAGCAGACCTCCAGCTGCGCTATCATTCAACCATTTAGTTACTTTCTTTTAGCTTGCTTACTTACTTACCAACTTAACTTACCTATTAACTCGAAACAGCTGCTTACCAGCCTACTTGTTAGTCTACTGACGCTTACAAACTCCACCCACAAATTTACTCACTGACTCACCCACTCACCTTCTCAAGCACTCACTCACTCACCTTCTCGAACACTCACTCAGGGGCGGAGCTTCCTATACAGTTGGTGGGGCGGCTGCCCCACCAACTTGGTATTTTGCCCCACCAATAAGCGTTTTGCCCCACCAACTTAAGCTGATTTTAAGACTTTGTTGCTTTGCAAATTGATCTTTTTCGCATTGAAGAGCTTTGGAATGTCTGTTTAATGCAAAATATTATATCTGTAATGATAGGAATTGATTCAGTGTGGCATTTTATTCAACTTCACAATCGGACATTGTGGGTTTGAGACTGTTTGCCCCACCAACTTCCCTGGAAAAGCTCCACCCATGCACTCACTCACTCACTCACACACTCATTCTCTTAGTTACTTACTTACTTACTTACTTACTCACTCACTCACTCGCTCACTAACCCACCCACTCACTCACTTACCCAAGAAAGGCTCCAGCGATTAATTTCCTCTCTTCGGCACATCCTTTCTCTCCCACCTTTCTTCATTTCCCTTGTGATTGCCCCTTTCTACTCCCCTCCCTTTCACTTCTCACTCCCTTTCTAGTTCATAGAGCTACCACAATCGTGGAGCACTGCCGGCTGTCACGTCATTCTGCCGATCGCTGGCCACAGACGGAAGCGGAAAATCGCTTAGGCCGATTAGGATACGCCTATTTAATTCACTTACTCACTGCTCATGCACTGATTGAACATGAATAATTGGTGATTGGCGTTGAAAACATCTCATTTTTCACCAAGCTGCAAAGATGAAGAGGCATGGACAGATTTTAGACGCAAATTTTTAGGCTTGTGAATGCATGCGCTGACGAGTATAGACGATTCTTTAATTTTTTTTCGACATCTACTTACAGGGTGGACCAAAAAGGATGGAAACATTTTGAACTCGCATAAAATATGTGTTATTGCATGCAGGTGACTGAAAATGATACCAAACGAGAGAACATTTCGTGGAAATTCATAATGATATCTCTCTCATCTGCTTCCTCTCGTTTTCAGTCTCTCACAGCAAATGTTCGAAGAGGCCACCTTTGCGAGACAGGCACAGAGCGGCCCGCCTGCCGGCTGACGCGATAGCCCGATGACACATGTCCTCTGGTATGACTCGCACAGCCTTGGTGATCGCTCTCTTCAGATAACAGAGGCCTACATAACCTTCCTTGCAGACTTGGCCCTTGAGATGACTCCACAGGAAAGGAATCCATAGGTCAGATGAGAAGACAGACAGACCAGTTCCACTTCGGCTCGAGGATGGGAGCGACAACACCGTGGCTGACGACCAAAAGCGCTACCAAGCGGCGCTAAAGAAGTTGTTGAAGTGAGCCCAAACGAAGTACGGCAGTCACATGGACCTCATGTGATTCCAGCCAGACGGTGCGCCTCCTCACATCGCGAAACAATGCTCAAGTGGAGCGAGAACCACTTTGGTGACCGGCTGATATCCCGCAGTGTCTGTCGGAACTAGCCTGTCTGATCACCTGACCTGACCCCGATGGATTTTTCCTGTGGGGTCATCTCAAGGCCAGGTCTACAAGGAAGGTTCTAAAGGCATCTGTTACCTGAAGAGAGTGATCACCAAGGTTGTGCAAGCCAAACCAGCGGACATGTGTCATCGGGCTATCGCGTCAGCAGCGAGGCGGGCCGCTCTTTGCCTGTCTCGCAAAAGTGGCCTCTTCGAACATTTGCTGTGGGAGACTGAAAACGAGAGGAAGCAGATGAGAGAGATGTCATTATGAATTTCCACGAAATGTACTCTCGTTTGGTATCATTTTCAGTCACCTGCATGCAATAACACATGTTTTATGCGAGTTCAAAATGTGTCCATCCTTTTTGGTCCACCCTGTACTCGTAGTTCGTACCTACAACATAATTGTTGTTTCAGTAAGAACGGCTGCATCTTAGATGCTTGTTTCACTTCACTCTCTTATCGTAAACCGATGTCTTTCTTTCCGTTCTTCAGATACCATTACTTCCAGTCGCACGACTTTGACGGCAACAAGGCGCTGGACGGCATGGAGATGCTGAAGGCCGTGCTGCACGCCGCGCCCGAGAAGGTGACGGACATTTCCCGGGAGTCAGCCGGTGTATTGTTTGCTTAGGAACACTCATCCTGGGTTTTGACTTTTGTTGCCGTAAATTACAGAAAGGTCGCATGTTTTTCTAAAGTTGCTATTAGTGTAAATAAATGCTAGTGTGCACATAAGATGCTTATATGTATTGTAATGTAAAGCCTAAATGACAGCGTATACACTATACAACACCTAAAGGTGCAGCCCGTATTGTATCATGCATAATGTATATCAGCCTGTATGCAAAAGGACTATAAGAATAGCCAACATTATTATGCCCCTATTACTGTACACCTACACAGCTTTCAACAAGAGATCAGAGATCTCGGAAAAGATAAAAATGGTGGAAAGGTAAAAAAGAAAAGTGATTAAGCTCACAGCTCAAATATTTTAAACCTGTAGAATGCAAGTCACTACATGATCTGCAATCTGCATCATTGTTAACGGAGAATATTTCACGACACCGGTATTCTAATGCTCACTAAACGTTCGGCAGACTTCAAACATGGGAGCCACCGAAGATATACCCGACAGCGATTCAGAGCAAGACCAAGGGAATATCAACGTTCCTTCAACAGCGCAGTTCTACGTCGGTAAGCTACATCAACGCAAACGCTCTATGAATTTTAATTTCCCTATTCATAAGTACCTAACAAATCTTCTGAGTGTGGTCATGGATGAGATAACATCCATGGTGTGGTCAAAATGCGATATTATTTTTAGTGCAATACTGTACCAATGCTTCGTTAATTTTATACAATTTCACCGATGCCAAATTTCTGACTATACCCTTCACTTATACCTGACCATCAATTACACCTTGCCGTTTCGGGCATTTTTTCGTGACGCAGAGACGGCGTGGGGTGATAGGTGCGAACCTCTCCCGCTGGCGTTTCGCTACTCAATGACGCAGAAACTTTTGACCAAAAATCAGCTCTAACTTGTCATGATAAGGAGTTAGTAGAGAAGATACCTAAATATTCAAATTTGCTTATTCGATTTGTAACTTTCGGGAGCAGGTCCAAGGAAATGCAGTGGCGAATTTTGCGATGACCAGTAGTCACCGTGTGCTGTCCTGCTAGTGTATTAACATAGCCTAGACATCAAATAACTCCCAGCATCCATCTGTAAGGGTAATCAGCAGGGTGAGGTGAATAGTACTTTATTCGCCTATTCCCAGGTGTGATTGATCGAGTTCTCGGGGAGGGAGACCTAAACAAGGACGGCTTCCTCAGCTACCCCGAATATGTACTGGTCAACCGGCGGGCGCAGCAACGACAAAACGACGAACATATGCAAGATCCGGCGTGACAGTGGTGATTTTTTTTTTGTCACTTACGCATATCGTCCTCGTGTATTGTCTGCGTGGAAACCGAAGGTGACCATTGACCACATGATATTGTTGATACCAAAGCAAATTGGAAGTGATTGTTAAAAATGATAGTAAAAGTTCATGCTGTATACTGTACCCATTGTACAAATGCATCGAATGGAATGAAATATATTGTGTCGACCACGACAACCGCCATAGATAAGGGAGGGGGGATGAGATTAATTCAAGAACTATCCCGATTCTTCATATAATTTCCAACCGTCTTGGACGGCTTGTCTCCGCTGTAAGCTCCTCTTCAGCGACTTCTCTCCGCTGTAAGCTTCGTTTGATTCCATCATTGGCAAAAAGGCTTTATAAGCACCGCCCTGATCGATCACTAGTCACTAAGCTGATCGATCACTAGTCACTACTACGAATCCGGCCACCGATCACTTATCACTACCGACTGAATGACGATCAGTAACCACTAACGCCCGACTGACGATCACTAATCGTGACCGCCCGGCTGCCACAGCGCCACAGTTCCCCTGACATGAACCCACTGACGTGACGTGGTGTGATGTGACGTCTGGTGACGTGACAGGCGGGCAACGCCCCCCCCCGTACGGCGTCGGTGACGGACGTCGACCATTGACATATGAACACGTGGCCCTCTGTTCACGCTGAACCACCTTCACGGGAGCAGTCAGTAGCCCGTGCCCAGCTGCCCACACGGGAGCAGTGAGTGACTCTCTGTGCCCAGCTGCCTACACCGGAGCAGTTAGTGGCTCTCTGTGCCCAGCTGTTTACAACAAAGTAGTCAGTAGCCCGTGCCGAGCTGTCTACACGGGAGACCCTGGTGGCTTCTGTGCTGAACTGCCTACACACGAGGCCGAGTGGCACGATAGGATCCGAGCGGGGAGCGCCGAGAAGCTATAGCTGTAACGACCTCCAGAGAGCAGTGACACAGCCCAGTGCGACTACAATAACCTAGTGATAGCATCCCGTATTAGAATGGTGCCGATATGGTGTGTCCTGGTGGTGCTGCTGGTGGTGACGGTGGTGCCCGCGGCGGCCGAGTGGGACGAGGAAGAGGAGCACCACGAGCAGCACCATCACCAACACATTGACCTGGAGCACCGCGAGGAGCACGCTGATGATGACATCTTCCAGACACTGGGCGAGGATGAGGAGTGAGTGGCGGGGATATTGCAGAGCGGAGAGAGTAGAGAGTGGGGATGTAAAGGACGAGGGATGAATGACCGGAGAGTGAGTGGCAGAGGAGTGTGTAGGACGGAGAGTGGGTGGCAAGCGGGAGCGAGTGCCGAGTTGGGAGTGAGTGGAGTGTGGGAGTGGGAAGGGTGGGATGTGAATGACTGGATAGTTAGGCAAGAGTTAGTGGAATCGGAATCGAGGAGTAAGATAGCAGTTGAGAGGATGAGCAGATCTGAGGGGCGGGAAGTGTGGGAATGGGTGATGGGATTCAGCATCTGTTGGGAGCTCTAGGAAAAGATGTGTACGACGAAGTTTAATGACCGTGACATAACCAATTGAATAACGAAGCAGGCGATCCCACCATGTCGCGTTTCTTGTCAGAGGAAGGGGAAGAGTGGGTGTGGTATTACAGCAGCATGTATGAAATCAAAACAAAAATAACTTTTACAGGCACGTCAAAGAGCATTTGGAGGAGGCATTTTCGGAAGACGACAAGAAGAAGATGACTCCTGAGGAAGAAAAGTATCATTTCTTCAGGTGAGACGCGGCCAAGATGAATCTTCATTAGTTTATCAACTATCCGACGTAGGTTGGTACCCGCTCAGCGACTAAAAAAACTACAGCGAGTCGATACTTAATGTCCTCACTCCTCATCGTTTGTCCATTCTGCATTCGTAAAAAATCATAAAATCGCTCAAGAGATAGAATTTGAAAGTAAAGAGTAGACACACAGCTAGCCAAAGCGAGCCCATGGACACTACCAATCGATACCAGTGCTCAACTAATAAAATTACTCGGATTGTATATGTTCGCAAATCGCAATTCTTCTGGCTTAGCCAACCTTGGATGCAATATCTTAAAAATGAAAATTATAGCCTGTAGGTTTACAAAGCAGACTCATTCTGTCACCTCCCGCTGCTGTTCCCAGACAGCACGACACGGACCACAACAGCGCACTGGACGGTCTGGAGCTAATGGCCTCCTTGTTCCACGTCAACCCGTACCACGTGACACACCTGACGTCTGAGGCCACCGAAGAGCAGGTGCGGCAGGCGGCCGCAAACGACGCCGACTACAACGCCCGACTACTGAACGCCATTGCAGGCGAGTAAGGGGGCGTTTTTGTGGACGAGTCGGGGGGGGGGGGGGGGACGGGGCTATGGTGGACGTGAGGTCACGAGTCACCTCTCCACCTCTCCCGACTAGCCCACAATAGCCCCTATTGTAGGCGATTCAGGTGAGGTGCTACTGTGAGCAGTCGAGAGCTGGAACCTACAGGAGGGACACATTTGCGGGCAAGTCGGTCGGACTGGGCCCCAACGGAGACTAGACCGATGCGAGAAATTCAGTAAGTAAAAGGTGGATAAAAACGTGCATGAATGCATAAAGTGAAAACGTGGGTAATGGACTGAAAGCGAAAATAATATCAACAGAAGTTGAATAAGTTGCAGCGCAGGCGGGAATGAATGAATGAATGAATGATGTATTTCGGTGCTTCCACAAAGTGGGTGTTCCAGCAGCCACGTCGATGAACATGTGAATAATAAAATACATACTCGTAACTTAAAAGCATGGCACAATGAACACTGTAAAATATACGAGTAGGCATTGGTTAAAACTACGAATAAAGAAACCCAAGCGTAGGGCGGAAAGATCCTGATGCACCGCTCACTTGTGTGACAAATAAGAAACCAGCTCAGATCTAAAGCCATGAACACCATCTCCTGCCGACGCTCGCATCGCCGAAGGCAAACTATTCCATGTCTTAATGGCCCGAAACAGGAAGGAGCGGCGACTGAACTCAGTCCGAACCTGCGGCAGCTGCAGCAGGTCGTCCGCGCATGACCGAGTGACGCGGTTCGATACATCGGAGCGGCGAACGACATTCCTTTGAAGCTCCTCTGCAACATGCTCGGCTGACAGAATGCTTCTGACCATCACTGCATCGCGCTCGCGGATCATGTCGTCCACTCGCAGCCATCGCAGCTCACACAGCAGAGGTGTCACTCGATCGCGGTACCGTGCATTAGTGACAATACGTGCGGCAAAGTTTATGACCCTCTGAACGCGACGCTTTTGTGTTGCGGTACAGCCTCCCCAGACAGACAAGCAATACCGCACATGAGGGAACACCAGCGCCTCAACAAGCAGTCGCTTAGTTTCAGATGGGAGACGGTATCTCGTCCTGGCGAGCCCTATGAGCGTACAGTAACACCGCCGCACAACGGTCGATATGTGCGGCTCCCACGAGAGGTGTGGGAGCCGGGAAGCGTAGGTGTTGATTGAATGAACGCCTGTGTATTGTGTTGTACGCATGCTGCACCGCATAACAGAAATGTAATGATATTAATGTCTCTAGATGGCGCTAGTTACTAGCGCTGGAAGATATGCTGTGCCGGATGACATAGTTTGAAACGTGCGACCGATTGGTTTTGTAATCTTATCAAGGCAACGTTATGCGTTGGGACACTCGTGTATAAGGTCAGGTAGTAGCGTTTGCCTCTTGTTCTGAAACCGTGGCCGTTCCTGTTGTCAGGTATAATCGACAAGACGCTGGACAAGTTCGACTGGAACCAGGACGGCCAGCTGGACTACACCGAGTACATCTCGGGCGCTGTCAACATGTTCACCAAGCAGAGCGACCACCACCAGGAGCAGGAGCATCACGACGACCAGCAGCAGCAGCAGCAACAGCAGCAGCAACAGCAGCAAACTCCGCCACAAGCTCCGCCCCCGCCGCCTCCACAGCAGCAGCAGCAGCAGCATGTCTACCAGCAGCAGCCTCCAGTGCAGCACCAGCAGCCGCTCTACCAGCAGCAGGCGCCGCCGATGTTGCCCCAGCAGCAGTATTACCAGCCGCAGCAGCAGCAGCCGCAGCAGCAGTACTACCAGCAGCCAGCACCGGTGGCCCCTCCGCCACCCCAGCAGCAGCAGCAGAACACATACCAGCACCCGCCCATGGTACCGCAGCAGCACTACGGCCAGCAGGAACATCACTGACAACGCCGGAGGGCGTCAACTATAGGTTATATATGGTTATACGATTGAATAAATGTTCCAGCCAGCGGTTTCCGCATAAGTTGTCACTCGTCCATCGAATAAAGCTAGCCATTTGGAGGTCTGGGCAATTTCGGGGTTGAATGCTTGTGTTAAGACATGCCAGTGTGAAAAATGCCATTTTTAAGGAACAGATTCTGGTGGCGTCGCCCCGCACATATGTACATGTCGAGCTACGTATTTTTAATTAACAGTCCACGGCGTTACGCAGTTAGATGTATGCGCTGTGCACCAATCGTCCCGTGATGACTCACGGCAAATATTGTTAGAAAAGATTGGGGAGCTAAAAAAACTTTTCAGAGTACAAAAGTCACATTGCTTAATATTTTAAAGGTTGAAGAAGAAATGCGCGTTTCGAAATACTTCGGCACTCTTTCATAGAAATTAGAATCGGTCGATTTTCTAGCCCCCTGATGCACGTGCTACACGCCGGAACACACATTTTCTACAAACGAACCTTTATTTACCTAAAGGTAGCGCGATATAACGAGCGTAGCAAACCCTTAGCTATTTTACCACTCAAGCCAGCCATCGCAAAGCCGGCAGCACCGTCTCAAAAACAAAATCACAAACAAGTTTCTGCTTCCTTCCGCATATTTATCTCTCTTCAGAGAAACTTACATGAAAGGCCAGCACTTCAATCCCGATCACGAGCCTGCGTTGTCCGTCTCTTCTTCCGTGATCGGTGCCCGCGTAACAACCATCCCCTTCTCCCATAGCGCCGCCGCGAACGCCACCTGTCGGCCACAAACGGAACTAGCGTCAGCGACAGAGCATACGATGTCGACAGCAGCGTTTGCGTTTAAAGTGGAAATTAAGGGAAAGGGTGTGACATCTCACTTCAATTACGCAGTGACCATTCTCAAGTTATAATGACAGAACACTTCTTGAACCGATTTCTGTTAGAACGAATGTGATTAGCACTCTTGGATCTAGCATTCAATGCACTTTGGCTGACTATCATGCAAGAAGTTCGACCACTTATTCATTCTCTCCACTCTCCCACACATACCTTGGCCTCCGGTTCGGCGCCGGGCAGCAGGTCGATGGCGGTGTACTTCGGGTAGTTCTCCAGCAGCACGGATACGGCGTCGGCCTGCTCGTCGTCGCCGATCACCAGGTACTGCTCGGGCATCTCCTGGTAGAGCCGCGAGTTCTCCAGGCAGTGGTACAGCCGCAGCTCGTCACCTTCGTTCACCAGTCTGAGGGGAGGGAGGGAGGGGAGAGGTCGGACGGAGGGCAGGGCGACATACAGCATGAGAAACTAGCCGCTCAGTGTCCTTGCTTTCCGCAGGATCAGCTCATCCCCATCCTCATTCATACTTTTCTGATTTGACTGGATCTGAATGGTGGTCACCCCCACCAGACCTCCCGCACATAATTTCCTATCCCATCACTCCCCTAGCCCCCAAAGTTCAGAGAAGACCATGAAGTACGGACCCTTCCTCTCGGTACTGACTACTGACCGTACAACGTTTCCTCGGATCATTTTGATCTCGGTGGAGCCGTCCATGGTAGCCTGGCCGCGCACGGCGCCGTCCGCCCACCGCTCGCCGTCCTCGTGCACGGAGCGACATCTCTCGTCTGAAAACGCAACCACAGGTTACGGTCGACGTCACCAGTCCGGCGAGGCGACATCGTGACGCTCTCCCTTGGTAAATCACTGAATCAAAATGAATATGTGCTTTTATAAAATAATGTCCATTCGAGCATAAATACAAATAACTCCTAATGTCCCTATTCGACTTTCATCGCCTACAGGAATTTAACCTCGACGATTCCATCATCCCCACAACTGTAAGTTCACCAATGCCAAGGACAATGCAATCCCTCGACCTTCAGTCCTTTGAGTGCCATAATATCTGACCTTTGGAGAGGCAGGGTGGCAGGGCGTCTCGCATGAACTGCTTGCCCATCTGATCGACTGCTGCGTCCACCGGCAGGAAGTCAGCCAATCGGGTTACCAGCCGGCGGGCAGTGTCCAGCAGCTCCTTCCTGTGGCCGCAGCAAAACAGACACATAGGAAGACGGGTCAGATAAGGGCGGGGTGGGGCAGGGTAAAACGTGAAAGGGGCAACACAGATCTTGTCTGAAAGTAGCCTAGCGGATAACAAAAACAGTAGATCATGGTGTTTTATTTACGAAGATTGCTACGACGTCTAAAATCTGTTCATTGCTTAAGCTAGCTGTTAAGCATCGACCATGTGCATACCAATAACAGCTGAACACACCCGGCCTGTGGTAAAGGTAGACTCCGTTTCTCAGATTATACGAGTGAGGTTCCCAAGCATCTCAACTCTTCGGACTGCCTGATGACATCGTTTCAGGCTTCCCTTCCTAACGCCTCGGTTGGGTGGACAAGTTCTAAGCTCCCACCGGGATGAGAAGTACCCGGGTCTGACGATCAGCGTCTTACCTCTGAGTGGAGGAGCTCTCGTCGTTCACGATGCCGGCGTGGCCGAGGAATCCGACGGGCAGCCCGCGGCGGAATTCCACATCCTCAGATATAGCCGTCTGTAGTGCTACGGGCACCATCCTGCGGAGAACCAGCACACTTGGGTAAAGGGAGGGCACGGGTAGAACATGAGGCGCGGCAAAATGACATTTGTCAAAGATCAGACGTGTTGGCATGCTATATTCAAGCGAAGAAAATGAGATCAAATCAAAATAATGTTATATGATGACTTTGAAGTTATATTCGCACAAATCAATCTAACCATGGAATTGTGTGTAAGAGTGCACAAAACACATGCAGGGCATGCGGGCACCTACACGACGTGGAAATGTAACGACAGAGCATGTGACAAAGTCAACGTCTCCCCATATCCAGCCAGTACCCGGTGAGTCCGACCTCCCCCGACACCTCCCCGACCCCTCCCCAGCTGGCGGCTCACTTTTCCAGCAGGTCGGCCCAGGCCACGTGCTGGTAGCAGGAGATGGTGATGTGCATGCTGTGCTCGTCGGGCAGAGAGCGGCCCTGGTGGATCGTACCCCGAGGAAAGTACAGCAGGTCACCGGCCTTCAGCGTCACCTCCAGCACCGGCGGCGACGTCACGTCCTCCGGCCGGAAGTTGCCAGATGAGTCACGCGCCAGCTCCTCGCCCGGCCTGGCAACACAAGAGTGATTGGAGATTGTTCGATGGGCCCCGCCGGGGTCTGAGATGATGCTGAGGAACTTTGGGAGAAACGAAGAGAAAACTCATTTTCTCTTTACATCAACTGTTTGGTGATTTGGTGACCTCATATCACTTTCAAATTTCTCATAAGCGAAAATTCGGGCGATCTGGGTGTTAATCTTAATTTCATCGGTTACATAAAAGCACTGTCAGAGTATTTTCTTGAAATCTTGAAATTTTGAATTCGGCTTACGGGCCGCCACAAATATACTCGCATTTGGGCCCGGTGAGAGTATTTTGTTGTATTTTGTTCATTGTGTGTTATATGTAGATTTAGAATGTAAATAGAGGAAGTAGTTTGGAGAGAGAGAGAGAGTAATGCCATGTCGACATTGACTGAGGTGGCAAAAACACATAGACCTCGAAGTGCTACAAATACGAAACAACTGCATTGGCAGCAATGCTAAGAAAAGAAAGACGTCGGATGACATGGCACCACTCTAAAATGGACGTTTTTTATCAAATCACCCGGTGGAAGTCGTGCCTCCGCTCAAACCGGCCCTTCAGGACACGACAGTGCTGGTGTGGTTAATAAACAGGAACTTGAAGCCGGTGACAATCTCACTTCCTGTGAGATCAGCGTGCACTGCAAAAATATCGCTAAAAGCACAGAGCTCCCCGGCGGCCCACGCGGGTAATAATTGTCGCAGAAAAAAACATTAAGAGGATTCTGTAAATAATATTGGACACAGTTGGCAGCCAACAGCAGATGGTTTATTTGAAGTTTATCACACAGATGATCAAGAAGAAAAATAATTCGCTAAAACTCGATGTAAAAAAAATTGGTCCTTGCTCTTGCCTTCTACCTACTAAGAGCCGTCATACTAGTGACCCGGCTCGTGATTAGCCCCCCTAGTCAAAATTCATTACCCCATGCCCTATAAACTGGGCCGATGGGCCGAATACAGAGTTCGTCAGGGCCGAATACAGAATCGCTTATTGATGACGTGATCTGATGGAGGGCTCAGACGTAGCGCGCAGGCCCCTACTGTATGGAATTATGGATGAAACCAGAAAGCCGTGGGGCGTGGCCGGGGACAAAGTTCGGCGACTACTCGGGGACAGACACATACAATACCGAATTCATGTCATCGGACGAGAGACGGCAGGAATTTGACGCACGCTTCTTCCTATCCTCGTACACTTTTTTCCTGTCCCTAGCCGTGCTCCATATCGTAGTATGTCCCCGAGCAGCAGCCTGCAGCCCTATCTCCAACATGGCGCCGCGTGTCCGATTTCTGCATAGAGCGGGCAGCAGGGTCGCCCGAGCCGTGACCCCATTGTCTCAGGGCCTCAGGGCTCAGAACGACCAGTGAGCGGGCCACGGGTCACGTCCGAGACCGGGATGTCGCAGCTTTCCCGGTCCGAACGGGACGTGTTTGTCTACGATTGGACAGAAACGGGCTACAAACTGTGCCCAAACATATGCAGAACTATCATCTAGCAAGACATAGCTTTAGATAGCGGTAAATAAATCGGACTTAAATGTGTACAAGTAAAAATATCTAACAACGGCACTCGATCAGACCCGGCTTAATTAGGTGGGCGTGGTATGGTAATTCCAGAATGGTCCGAGTGAACAACTGAGACTTTAAATGCCAAGGCGTAGGCACTTCTATTACACTTTTCAATATTCATAGAGCAGTCCTTGCTGATCATTATAACATCGAGTGTTGATGCGGCGGAGTAGGTCGGAACATGTATCAACTGACAGTGATTATTTAGACACGAAATCGTACAAAAAAAAATCCAAGAACGAAGCGTCGT